GAAGAATATGGAAGATTTACTGCTGAGTGAAGCAAGTCAGGCTATGAAGGAGAGACATTGTATGTCCCCACTTAATATATACCGAGTGTCTGCACTCTATGACAGAAACTGATTGACTAAAGGATATAGAAACACAGTAAATGGATGTGAATATCTGATATAGTGTGTGTGAAAGAGTAGAGTCTGAGGAAGGACATTTAGAAGGAAAATAGAGAGGCAAAGCATTAATGTGACAAAGAAATGTAGTATCATCTGTTGAAGATAATTTTATAGTTTTATCAGACTAGGGAGAAATGTTCACATGTTGGAATATTCACTTTGTAAGCTAAATAATGTGATTGAATGTATGAAAGAAAATGAAATAAAAAATATTTTTTAAAAATAATAAATAAAAAATATAAAAAAGAATGCATGTTGGGAACAAGGACAGTCTTTTCAATCAAGAGTGCTGGGAAATTTTGATTCTACATTCAAAAGAATGAAATGAGACCCTTATTGCTCAAAAATTACTGGAAATAGATTAAAGACGTGGAGGAAAGACCCCAAACTCTGAAACTATTAAGAGAAAATATGGGACCAGCAGTTAACGTAATGGCTATGTCGTTAGACTCCTGTGTAGTCAACCACGGTTTGAGTCCTGGACCCTGTGGCTTAAAACTCATATATATATATATGGGAGATGCTTCATGACACTGGCTTAGGCAAAGATTTTTTTGGATAAGATCTCAAATACACATGCAACAGAAGAAAACTTAAAAATTGGATTATATCAAGTAAAGCACTGCTGCACAGAAAAGGAAACGATCAACGGAGTGAAGAGACAATCCACAGGAAAAACAAAAACCAAATAACCCAATTTTTAAAAATAGGTAAAAGACCTGAATAGACATTTCTCAAAAGAATATATACAAATGGTGAGCAGGTATATGGGGAAAAAAAAGCTCAACATCACTAATCATTACGGAAATTCAAATAAAAAGCACAATGAAATATCACTTCATCCTAGTTAGAATGGCTAATATCAAAAAATCAAAAGGTAAATGTTGACAAGAACATGGATAAAGGGAACCTTTATACATTGTTAATAAGAACATAAATTAATGTACCCATATGGAAAACTGTATAGAGATTCCTCAAAGCAATACGGGACCAGGAGGTGGCATAGTGGTTAGGGTACTGGACTCCCACATGGCTGAGCACAGTTTGAGTACCAGACCTGGAGGCTTGAAAATCATACCAGATACATGTGTGTCCATGCCCAAAATCCCGAAAAGAAAATGGAGAAGGGATTTCAGCACAGCCATCCCTCCTAGGAGGTGATTTCTCACTTTCTCTCTCTGTGTCTCTTTCTATCTCTCTGGTGAGTGAATGTACTCTATTGCAAAAATCTCTCTTTAAAAGAAAGTGAAAATAGAACTTCCATATGATTCAGCAACCCCACTAATGGGGATTTTATCTATATATAATCTCCAGAAAAATAATATCAACATGTTAAAAAGTTATCTGTACTCCTATGTTCATCACAGAAAGATTCATAATAGCCAAGATATGTAGCCAATCTAAATGTCTGTCAATGTGGCACATATACAGTAATCCCCCTGTATCCACAGGTGATATCTTCCAAGAACTACAGTGGATACCTAAAACTAGAAGCAGTACCAAATCCTATATATACTATGGTTTTATCTATGCATACATACTTTTAAGTTTAATTTTGAAATTAGGTTCACTAAGAGATTAATAACAACAATAATAATAAGGTAAAACTATGACAATATATTGTAATTAAAAATATATGAATGTTCTCTCTCTCTCTCTCTCTCTCTCTCTCTCTCTCTCTCCCTCTCCTCTCCTCTCTTCTCCTCTCCTTTCTCTTTGCTCTCTAAAAATATCCTGATGTACTGTACTCCTTCTTCTTGATCATGGGCAACTAAAACCATGGAAAACAAAAAACACAAGTAGTGGGAAACTATTGTATATCCAATAAGCGACAATTGAGACATTAAAAAGAATGAAGTCCTGGGAACTAGCAGTTAGCGTAATGGCTATGTTGCTGGACTCCCACGTGGTCGACCGCGGTTCTCGTCCCGGACCCGGTGGCTTAAAACTCACGCCAGGCACGTGTGCGGGCGTGCCCAAGATACCAAGAGGAGAATGGAGGAGAAGGGATTGTGGCATGATCATCCCCCTTGTGGGGTGATTTCTCGCTTTCTGTCTCTATGTCTTTCTCTGTCTGGTGAGCGCCTGAGCCCTATAGCGAAAACTTCTCAAAAAAAAAAAAAAATGAAGTCCTGCCAGTTGTGACCACATGGATGAAACTGAAGATATTTTATTAAATGAAATAAGTCAGGCACTGAAAAACAAATACAAACCTCATGATACCACTCATATATAGAATCTAAAAAAGTTAATCTTGTAAGAGTAAGGGACAGAATGGTTTTTACCAGAGGCTGGGGTTAGGGGGAAGAAGAGGATGATGAAATGTTGGTCAAAGGATATAACTATGATTAGACAGCAAGAATAAATTTCAAAACATCTATTGTACAGCAGGTGATTATAGATAATGGCAATATATTGTGAAAATGTGATAAGAGTGGATGTTAAGTGTGCCCAGTGAGGTAATGCATTTCTTAATTAGCTAGATTAACCCATTTCACAATTTTTTTAAGCACAAAGAGATGTTGAATTTCATTAAATGAATTTGCTGTACCTATTGAAATAATCTTTTTTTTTAATTTTATTCTGTTAATGTAATGTATCAGCTTTATTGATTTGAACCACCATTGCATGCCTGGACGAATTCTGCTTAATCATAATGAATGAAAAGTTTAATGTGCTAATGTTTTCACTGGTATGAAAATGACTCTGAAAATTCAGTTTACTAGTATTTTGTTGAGGATTTTAGTGTTTTTCCTTTTTTATTTATTTATTTTAGGTTTTGGTCATAGGATGCATGTGCTTGTCAGAGACAGTGAGAGGAAAAATGAGAAATCACCCTGTGGAGGGGATGGCCATGCTGCAATCCCTTTTTCTCCATTCTCCTCCTGGGATCTTGGGCAAGCACATACAGATGCCCAGCACGCAACCCTCAAGTCACCATGTCTGGCATTTGAACTATGGTCAACCATGTAGGAGTCCAATGCCTTAACCACCATGCCACCTCCAGTGTTTTCATTTTAATTACACCCTAAATATGTCATCAGACCATCCGTTATCATCAAAGCACCCCTCTTACCCCAAGCCCAGCCCCATGTTGCAGAACTCATATTTGATCTTTCATTTGAGTTCAGGTCTCTGCCAAGTGGCAGTCCGAGGTGTCATAGTACCTGTATGAAGTTTTTTCACAATATAGAAATGAGGTGGAAACACTGATTCATCACAGAATCAGCCTGTGGGCAATTGGAGATGCTGTAATGTTCTGCATCATAAGCATGTTACACACAAATGTGTCAACCACTTAGGACAAAAATAATTTAATACAAGAATTATCTTTCTTTAAAAGATTCTAACCTCAGAAGCAGATATTACACACATGGATATATACTGCAAACATATAAAGATTATTAATGATGTGATTCAAAAAGGAAAGAAAGTAAAACAGACAAAAACAGGGAACAACTCTATGCTAGTCACAGTCTTGGGTAAGATCCAGGACTTATGAGTCCTCTTCATCTCCACTCCCAGAAGAAGGCCTATGGTCTGCTCCTTTGACTTTAAAGTCATTTGTACAGATGTCTGGTGGGCTAGACAGTGTCAACTTGAGAGGAGAACCTTATGTCACCCCTTCCCGCCTGTTCCAAGTCTTCGGTCTGTTCTTCAGTTACCATGGAGACATTGCTGCTTCTTCAACCGTATAACAGGGTGATAACAGTGGCCCTACTCCCCCCTCAGCAGTGGCGTGCAAATGGAACTGAGAAAATAGATGAAAGCATGTTGAGAATTAGAAATTTTAAGACAAAAGTATCTGATCAAGCTACCGCTTCCCAGCTGAGTTCAGTCCGTTATGTCTAAATCAAAGTCAATGTTGTGCGAATTGCCCTGTTTTGAAGTGAGGAACAGGGGTTGGTCTCTTCCGGAGGAAGCAATGAACCAGCCAGGGAAGGCCACTGACTCGAAGGTGGAAGTTCTACCAGTCTTGAGGTGGTAGAAAAGGAACCCTCAAGTCACCATGTCTGGCATTTGAACTATGGTCAACCATGTAGGAGTCCAATGCCTTAACCACCATGCCACCTCCAGTGTTTTCATTTTAATTACACCCTAAATATGTCATCAGACCATCCGTTATCATCAAAGCACCCCTCTTACCCCAAGCCCAGCCCCATGTTGCAGAACTCATATTTGATCTTTCATTTGAGTTCAGGTCTCTGCCAAGTGGCAGTCCGAGGTGTCATAGTACCTGTATGAAGTTTTTTCACAATATAGAAATGAGGTGGAAACACTGATTCATCACAGAATCAGCCTGTGGGCAATTGGAGATGCTGTAATGTTCTGCATCATAAGCATGTTACACACAAATGTGTCAACCACTTAGGACAAAAATAATTTAATACAAGAATTATCTTTCTTTAAAAGATTCTAACCTCAGAAGCAGATATTACACACATGGATATATACTGCAAACATATAAAGATTATTAATGATGTGATTCAAAAAGGAAAGAAAGTAAAACAGACAAAAACAGGGAACAACTCTATGCTAGTCACAGTCTTGGGTAAGATCCAGGACTTATGAGTCCTCTTCATCTCCACTCCCAGAAGAAGGCCTATGGTCTGCTCCTTTGACTTTAAAGTCATTTGTACAGATGTCTGGTGGGCTAGACAGTGTCAACTTGAGAGGAGAACCTTATGTCACCCCTTCCCGCCTGTTCCAAGTCTTCGGTCTGTTCTTCAGTTACCATGGAGACATTGCTGCTTCTTCAACCGTATAACAGGGTGATAACAGTGGCCCTACTCCCCCCTCAGCAGTGGCGTGCAAATGGAACTGAGAAAATAGATGAAAGCATGTTGAGAATTAGAAATTTTAAGACAAAAGTATCTGATCAAGCTACCGCTTCCCAGCTGAGTTCAGTCCGTTATGTCTAAATCAAAGTCAATGTTGTGCGAATTGCCCTGTTTTGAAGTGAGGAACAGGGGTTGGTCTCTTCCGGAGGAAGCAATGAACCAGCCAGGGAAGGCCACTGACTCGAAGGTGGAAGTTCTACCAGTCTTGAGGTGGTAGAAAAGGAAGGGCTTCACAGGCTCATCTTGGTTGTACAGATCCATGATCTTCTGTTTCTGAAAGATGACAGAGGAAACCCATGAGGAGAAATAAAAGCTGTCTGAGATATTAAAAATTATTTGCACATAGTCAGTGAACATTCCATAGTGTGATAAAGCCTTACCCACCAATTTCAAAGGACCAGAAGAATGAACACATATACAATCTCAAATCCAGAGATGATGTAGGAAGGATACAAAAAACAAGTTGATGAAAAAATGGCCATACTTGAACAATGAGTTGGAACTGTCCTCACTTAAGAGGCTGAGGGGATCCCTTAGGAAAAGGAAAAAGATGCAGATTTGCAGCAGTAAGTCAGGGACTTTCTTTACCAAAGCTGTAACAGTAAGAGCCACCATTCTGCAAGAACCACTCCTATAGCAAAGAATGGCCAGACCTTGGCCAGGGATATGTGTCTCTGAACAATTGCCAAACACGTGAAAAAGCAATACCAGAAGAGGAACCACAAGAGAGTCGAACAAATCAAAGGACTTGCAGAAAGAGAAGGAAACAATGGGGAAAAGGAAAAACAAAACATTTAAGGGACACAAAGATGGAAAATGATCTGATGATAAAAATGTGTATGGTACTAGAATAATGTACAGTTGATCATGGCGACCTTCGACTTCTCCTTGAACCTACTCTGTTTCCTACCAAACACTCTCCACAAAACCGTTGAGCAAATTTTAGGTTTAAATAAATAAACAAGATTATATTATCCTTCAGAGTAAACCTCTTGAAAGTTTTCTATTACAATTACAGTGAAATCCAAACTTGTTGAAAGCCTGCAGGGCCTATTCCACCTCACTTCCTGGACTTCTTCCCACTCCCCGCATGTCTATTATGCTGCAGTCACACTGGTTTTCTTCCTTCCCCTCAAAGATACCCAGGTGTTCTTACCCAGGGCTCTGGTATGTATTGTCACTCCACCTAGTTGCTCACCCCACCCCTTCCCATGACTGGTTCCTCTCATCATTCCACCGTTCCCTCCTTGGGAGAACTTTGCTGAATATTCTAGCTAAAGTAGGCCTCGAATCTCCCCATCCATCACCCAGCACCATTTTCTTCCTGGGTAATTTTCTTTATTAATACCAACCACTATCTAACCTCAGTACATGTATCTATTGGTTATATAATCATTGTCAGAATTGTTCATCACTGTGTTCCTTGACACGGAGAGAAGCCCTGGAATTCTGCACAGTAGAGATTATCCGATCATTTAATAAATGAAAGAATGCATTCTGATTTCAGATATTCATTCCTCCTCCTGCATTCTCATTATCAACTTTCTGCTCACTGAGAAAATTGAAGCAATAAAAATAAAACATCCACAAACCACCTCATAACTTGTGACCCCAGCACGTGTACCACACCACACTTCACTCCTTGAGGGCTAGGCAAAAGGACCCAACTGTACTCTCCAACATGAGGGCTGCCTTCTAGCCATTCTCCTACTCTCTCAGGCTCCATTGGTTCTAATGTCTCTAGTCAGTGATTTCCATCAGCATATTTGTTGTCATCTCTATCATTTAAAAAAATAACAACTATTTTTCTCTCCCCCCAACACCAATCACTGCACCTATTTCCCTTTTTTTTTTTTTTTGGTTTAGAGGTTTTTGTTTGCTATAGGGCACGTGCGCTCGCCAGACAGACAGAGAGAGACATAGAGACAGAAAGCGAGAAATCACTCCCCAGGGGGGATGGTCACACCGCAATCCCTTCTCCTCCATCCTCCTCTCGGGATCTTGGGCACGCATGCACATGCGCCCGGCCTGAGTTCTAAGCCACCAGGTCTGGGATGCGAACCGTGGTCGACTACGTGGGAATCCAGCGACATAGCCATTACACTAACTGCTGGTTCCCACACCTATTTCCTTTTACAGAAAACTCCCTGCAATAGAGATTGAGTGCAACCCAGTGCTGGCATAACTGGACCCCCATGAAGAAAGTCCTGTGTTCACATATTCCAGAACCTGCCTGAGCACACTGGCACAAGAGTGTGTGCCTGTGATCGGGGCTGACTGAGAATAGGATGGATTGTGAGGAAGACCCCATTGGGAGTGCCTCTCTCTTTTCCTCTTCATCTCTCATGGAAGAAATAAATAAACAAATATTTTAAAAAGGAAACTCTTTGCAATAGCTGTCCACATTTGCTGCCTCTGGTTTCTATCTTATAATTACTCTCTTTTACCTCACTCCATTTGTCCCCACCATTATGCCCACATTACATCTCGCCAAAGACCCCAGTGGCAGGCACAAATTGCCTAATGTGATGGCCAGTCTTCAGTCCTCAAAAAAAAAAAAAAAAAAAAAACAGAAAGATGACTTGGAGGACAAGACATAGCTGAAAATGTCATTCTTGGTCCTCATCTTATGGATCATATCCACTCTGTCAGCAAATTCTGTTGTCTCCACTTAAAATGTTTCCAGAATCTGACATTCTCCCCACCTCCACTCTGCTATCCTGTAGCCCATAAGATCATACCTGGATCACAAAAAAAAAAAAAAAAAAAAAAAAAACCTCTCACCCTTGCTCTAAAGTTTTTGATCGATCAGAAGCCAGAGTGATTCCTTTTAGACTTCAGCCCATTTGTGTCATTCTTGTGTTTGAAACATTCCAGGAGTTGCCCCTTTCACTATGAGTGCAAAGCTAAGTTTTTGTGAGGGCCAGCAAGGCCCTTCATGAACTCCTCCTTCCTCAACTCACATTACATCTCTTTTCATAGGTCCTGGGATTGGCTCCTAACAAATACCTTGATAACTTACCTGTCTCTTCCATTCACTGATAAAATTTCACCTTCTGATGACTCCTACCACACCATTCATCTCTGCAGCCTGATTCCACCTCTATATCTGACATTGCCAGCCTCTGTATTCTGCTCTAATTATACTTTTCTAGGAGACATAGTAACTTCCTTTAACATATCACAAGTTTACTTATGTATTGCAAATGGAGTCAGGATAGGTTGGTCTGGCTTCCTCACCTCCTATCTTATTATGTTTGAAGGCCACAGAGCAAACAACTTACATTATTAGTTGTACTGCACTTGCACGCCTTTTATGTAATTAGAGCTTGGCTGATTTACACCATTGAATGTAATGCACATGTTCATGTGTGAGAGTTTAGTTTTGGCAATGAATCGCTGTTGTCTGCAGTCTCTTTAAGAGTAGAGAAGCACCTGGTCAGCTAACTAGATAGCCCTGCTCAGTTTGGGTTTGGTTCAGTCTGGTGAGTCCTGATGGCCTTGGCTTGGCTTGACTCAGCTCAGCTCCATGCTGTGAGCTCCAAGAAGGAAGAAGATACTCCCTGAGTGCTCTTAACATGCAGTATAAGGTCCAAGAAGGAGGAAGCACCTTGTGAATGCTACAAGAGCTCTGCAAGCTCACCATTAATTCAGCAATAAACAACATGACATCAGTGCCTCATGTCTTTTTCCAATTCTTTGCATCTCTGTTTGATCTACCCATTGGGGGAGAAAAGAACTTCACAAAAACAACCTACTATCACATTTATTATTTACATTTCTCTCCATATGCTGGAATCCAAGGTAAATTAGGGCTCTTTGTCATTCTGAACAAAAATTTATCTCCAGTACCCACACAGTGTTGGAGATCAGTAAGTACAAATACTGTTTGAAGGAAATGGGTTGAATTACATTGAATTGAATTGAACTGAAGTTTATGAAACAAGGAAAGGAATGAAGTGGGGAGGGAAGGAAAGAAGGAAAGAGAGAAAGAAAAAAGAAAGAAGAAAGGGAGAGAGGAAGGAAGGAGAAGAAAGAAAGAAAGAAAGAAAGAAAGAAAGAAAGAAAGAAAGAAAGAAAGAAAGAAAGAAAGAAAG